CCGAGCGGGCGGGGCTTAAATTAATATAAAACACCACGTAGGTGCGGGCTGCCGAGCTCCTGAGCCTACAGTTTGGAGCAGGAGGAGGTCCCTGTCTTCCCAAACGCCTTTCCTTCTGCTGTGACCATGTAGAGCAGCGGTTCTCAACCTGTGGGTCGCGAACCCTTTGGGGGTCGAACGACCCTTTCACAGGGGTCGCCTACGACCATCGGAAAAGCACATATATAATTACATATTGTTTTGTGATTAATCACTATGCTTTAATTATGTTCAATTTGTAACAATGAAAATACATCCTGCATATCAGATATTTACATTACGATTCATCACAGTAGCAAAATTACAGTTATGAAGTAGCAACGAAAATAATTTTATGGTTGGGGGTCACCACAACATGAGGAACTGTATTAAAGGGTCGCGGCATTAGGAAGGTTGAGAACCACTGATAGAGTCTTGGCGGAACGGCCCCTGCTTCACCCAAAATGGGTTTCCGGATTTGATGATCAGTCATGCACTCCTGATCCCGAAAGCACCTCAGCGCCTGGGGTTCCAGCTTCTAGGGACGCCTTCCCATGAAGCCCCTCACCTAACTACAACGCCCCTGACCTCTGACCTCCCAGCCCACATGCACCCCCTCTCAGTCATCCACACAGCTGGAAGCACCCACCTCTCAGAAGTCTTGTGTGGCCTGGTCCACTGGAAGGTCTCAGGACCTCCAGTTGCCATTATGGTCATCACTGCACCTGCACAGAGCCCCAGAGGGTTACCTGAATGTGAATCCTGCAAGGCCAAGCAGGGTCAGTCCCAGCGGTGATGGGCGATGGCTGGCAAGGTGGAGCCTTGTCACCCTCCCCTGGATATCCCCCCCCCCCTTACAGGCCATCTGCTCAGGGGCTCCTCTCACCCACCCTGAGGTCCAGCTTATGTTCCTGTTTCTGAAGTTCCTCCTCTCACCCTGAGGACATAAACCAGGACGTTTGGTCTGAGGCATTCACACCTGTCACCTCTCTGGCACCTTTGACAATCCTTAGAGGGGGGGTTCTTGCCCCGCTTTCATGGGGCACCAGAGTCCATAGGAGTGGAAAAATGCCCCAAGTACTGGCAGAGGAACAGCAACACAGCCTGGTCTGAAAGGAGTCCAGACTTCCCACCCAGGGCTATCCCTGGTGGGGAGCAGGGGTGGGCTGGAGGCAAATGCTAACCGGCTTTGGTTTTGACAAATACGTGGCTTACACGTGGTTACATAAGTAAGGTGGTTTCTTCCACGGTAGGGTCCCAAAGCTCCCACAGTCAAATGACAGTGCCCTGGCCCGGCTGAAATTGTTACCGAAAGCTGCTCACAAACCAGCCCTTCCACCCACCTATGTCCCTTGGCTGGGAACCCTCTGTCCCTGACAAACAGTCACCTCATGTTCCCAGGAGCTCTCCTCCGCTGATTCCCTGCTCTTCCCTCGGGGAGGTGCATGCTCCCTGCACATCCCTATCAAATTCCGGGGCCTCGGGTACCAGCCTCAGCCTGCCTCCTCTGGGGAGAGAGGCCCTTTTGGGATCCTTGGCACAGAGACCAACAGGGGCATTACTTATGCTCTATGCGCCTGTCTGGCCCATCCCTCAGAGACCCTTTTGGGATCCTTGGCAAACAGGGGCATTACTTATGCTCTATGCGCCTGTCTGGCTTCTTCCCTGACCAGTGGGCCGTGAGGCAGGACTGTGTCCCAGGGTCTCTGAACCCCCACACTGGGTACTCAGGGACTTGGGGAATGCTTGGAGCAGGCCATGAAGCTAAGAGGAGCTGGTGGCCACTGTGGGAGGTCAGGGGTAGGAAGCAGGGTCCCTTGGAATCTTCTAGCTTCAGGGGCTCTGGCTTAAGCAGAGACCTGAATTGATCCTTACTCTACCCATAATTTTATGAATGACCTGGGCAAATCTCTGTCTTACTCGAGGCTACTCAAAGACCGGCCCTTCCATCCACCTATGTCCCTTGGCTCTGTGTCTCCACTTATAAAATGGGAAGTTGAATTCAGTGACTTCTCAGGTTCCTACAGCTTCCACTACCTCTGGTTCTAAGTCTCTGCTATCAACATCCCCAGCTCACTCCACCATGCTCCCCCAGGCCTCCTGTCTCCAGGAGAAAACCTTCCAGTTGAATCTCTTTCCTTTCAAGAGACTTTCCCTCACCCTATGCTCCTTCCTTTCCAAGCCACCAGTTGCCCCCTAACAGGCATTTGCACCCCATTTTGGCCCTCCTCGGCTTGATAGCACCTTTGGAGGCCTAAGAACTGAAAAGACAATCCTCCTGGTGTAAAAACACTAAACTGTACAATACGTGCAATGAAGTTCACAAATTCTGATGTCTCTTATGACTACATCTTCAATTAAAATTACATATATAATCCCCCCCGCCAACATTGCTGGGGCTTTGAATGTGTGCTTCATCTGCCTTGGTCAGCCTCCCCAGCCTATCTGCTTGGCCATTTAAGGAAGCATGCACTCCTCGGCCCAGGCACTGTACTTCAACACTTTGAGCCATCATCTCTAACCCCACTGCAGTAAGTAACATTGCCTCGATTTTACAGGTGAAGAAACAGGCTCATAGAGGGATACACTTGCTCCCCAACTAAGCAAGGGCAGAACCAGGCCTGATTCTGAGGTCCAGCCTCCTTCACCCACGAGGCTGTGGCCCTCTCCTCTTAAAAATGGTTCTTAGCCACAGTGCAAGCAGAAAAGTCAAGCCAGCTGGTGGTGCCAGGGGCCTGGCATGCCTGGCAGTGGGCACAGCTGGTTCAGGGTGTTCTTGTCCAGATGACAGCACAGGCTTCTGTGAGCTGACCCCGCTCACTCTCTTCCTTCCTTTCCCATTTAGCCTCTATCTCCCTCTGCTCGGTGTTTACAGCTTCTCACTACACATGAGTCTCATTCAGGGCCATGAAGGTGCAGAACAAGGTCCTGTCTGGGGTGTAAAACCTGCTTGTCTCAGTGATCCCGCCTGACACCATACCCTGCCTGTATCCCAGACTTTTTAAAAAAATCCTCACCTGAGGATGGTTTTTTAAAATATTGATTTTAGAGAGAGAGAGGAAGGGAGAGAGAAACATGGATTGGTTTCCTCCCATACAAGCCCTGAGTGGGGATCGAATTCACAACCTAGGTATGTGCCTTGATCAGGAATCGAACCTGCAACCTTTTGGTGTATGGGACAACACTCCAACCAACTGGGCCACCCGGCCAGGGCTGTCTCCCAGTCTTAGTTTCAGGGATTTGTCCCCCAGACTGCCCCTCCATGTCAGGAAATCTCACCCATCCTAGAAGCACCACAACCCTTGTTCAAATACAACTCTAATTTCATTCCACTCTGCCATCACCATGAGTGGTGCACATACCTCTCTTTCCCACTAGATGGCAAAATCCCTGAAAGTGAAAATCACATCTATTTCTCCCAGTGGTTCTCAACCTTCCGAATGCCGCGACCCTTTAATACAGTTCCTCATGTTGTGGTGACCCGCAACCATAAAATTATTTTCGTTTCTACTTCATAACTGTAATTTTGCTACTGTTATGAATCGTAATGTAAATATCTGATATGCAGGATGTATTTTCATTGTTGGCGACCCACAGGTTGAGAACCACTGATAGACCCTTTACCTCTCACGTGCAAATGAATATTTGTGGAATGAATGAGTTTATATCATATCTATCTACTAAGTTGCTCTATCTATACACACACACACACACACACACACAGATAACATTTATTAAGTGTATATTATGTGCCTGTCCCTGTACCAGGTATTTTACTTTTGCAAAAGTTAAGAAATACTCAGAACTTTAAAAATCCATAGAGATAAGTAGTACACTAGCAGTTGCTGGGGGTTGGGAGTAGTTGGGTGTGAAGAAATGGTAGTGACTGCTAATGGGTATGAGGTTTCTTTTATGGTGATGAAAATGTTGTGGGATTAGATAGTGGTGATGGTTGTACAACTTTGGGGATCTACTAAGAGCAACTGAAAAGGAATTAATTTTATATGTGTATTATATCTCAGTAAAAAATAGCACTTTATTTTATTTTTAAATATATTTTTAAATATATTTTTATTGATTTCAGAGAGGAAGGGAGAGGAAGAGAGATAGAAACATCAATGATGAGAGAGAATCATGGATCGGCTGCCTCCTGCATGCTCCACACTGGGGATCCAACCCACAACCCAGGCATATGCCCTGATCAGGAATCGAACCGTGACCTCCTGGTTCATAGGTCGACGCCCAACCACTGAGCCACGCCGGCCGGGCAAAAATAGCACTTTAATACACAATTTCATTTGTTGGTAATCTTCTCAACTGTGTATGTATGTATGTGGGTATTAGTATTTTTATCACCATTTTACAGAAGGAAAAACTGAAGCTCTGAGAGGTGAAGTGATACAATAGGTTGTTGTAGAATTAACTGTAAGTAGCTAATACTATGGAGCCTAACATAATTGGTCTATGCCGTCTTCATAACAGCCCCATGATTTTCAACCCGTTTTGTAGACAAGGAAACTGGCTTTGCTGAAAGTTTCAAGGTTAGAAGAGAACTGAGATTCAACCACAGGCAACCTGATGCCAACCTGCCCCGTCTTTTAGTTGTATTTTTGAAGTGGTTGTTCGAGGCAGCAAACTCCGGCGTTAACCTATGCCGCCATCTTCGGGTATTAGTATTTTTATCACCATTTTACAGAAGGAAAAACTGAAGCTCTGAGAGGTGAAGTGATACAATAGGTTGTTGTAGAATTAACTGTAAGTAGCTAATACTATGGAGCCTAACATAATTGGTCTATGCCGTCTTCATAACAGCCCCATGATTTTCAACCCGTTTTGTAGACAAGGAAACTGGCTTTGCTGAAAGTTTCAAGGTTAGAAGAGAACTGAGATTCAACCACAGGCAACCTGATGCCAACCTGCCCCACAAGCACCTGCCTTCTTAAATTAACGGGATTAGCGATCATTTGTGGGGATATGAGCAAGCGCCATCCCGTGCACCACTGCCGCTGCCACTGTAACTTGGCACGAGCACTTTGGAAAAGTGTCTGTCAGTGTCTACTAGAGCTGAATGTCTACACACCTTCCGACCCAGCAATTCCACAGAAATGTGTATATACGGGCACCACAAGACAGGTGCAAGGCTCTTCAGAGCAGCATCATTCTTATTAGTCAATATTGGAAACAACCCAAATGTCTATTAACAAGCGAGTGGATAAATCCATTGCAGTGAGATCACACTACAGAATATTAATACTGCAATGAGAGTGAACATTCTACAACCAAATGCAACCATATGGATGAATCTCACTGACAACATGTTGAGCAAAAGAAGCCTGACATGGGAGTGTATATGCTGTATGATTTCATTTATATAAAGCTCCCAAATAGGCTAATCTATGGTGTTAGGAGTCAAGGTGTGTTCAGGCTGGGTGACTAGAAGGGATTAAGAAGGGGTGTCTGGGGTGCTGCTAACATTTTCTTTCTTTATCTGAATTCAGGTTACACAAGTGTGTTCCCTGGGAATACTTACGATGTGTGTACTTTTTAACATGCATGTTAGATAAATATCTTTTAAAAGGGAAACCAGTTTTCACAGGCACACACATCCACAACCAGGAAGCCTCACTAAACTGATCGATGTGTCTCTCCCACATCGATCTCTCTCTTTCTCCCTTTCTCCCTTCCTCCTTCTCTAAAAAAAAAAAAAAAAAAAAAAAAAAAA